GGAATGCCTGTTCTCCTGGAAAAACTGACTTCTCTTCCTGCTGTATTCTTTCCTGGAGCCAAGAATCACAGACCAGTACCCCACAACTTCTGGGACTCCAGCTCTGTCTCCCTAGTGTCATACTGAGGGAAGGAAGGTCAGGCCAAGCACAGTGGGCACGTCGGTTCACTCAGGACTGTCCACGGGCCTATTTAGGTAGATCGTGTGTGGCTCATAGGGTATGTGGGCGGAGGAGTTACATCAAGGGCTGGTCCACTCCCACGCTGGAAAGTAAGTTGCCTTCCCTGGTGCTGTCAGGGTTGTATTGTGTCCTCCCAAAAAGATAAGTTGAAGTCCTAGTCCTTCGAACATGATCTTATTTGGAAATAAGGTTTTTTACAGAGGTAATCAAGTTAAAATGAGGTCGCGCCGGGCGTGGTGGCGCGCGCCTGTAGTCCCAGCTACTCGAGAGGCTGAGGCAGGAGGATCGCTTGAGCCCAGGAGTTCTGGGCTGTAGTGCGCTATGCCGATCGGGTGTCCGCACTAAGTTCGGCATCAATATGGTGATCTCCCGGGAGCGGGGGACCACCAGGTTGCCTAAGGAGGGGTGAACCGGCCCAGGTCGGAAACGGAGCAGGTCAAAACTCCCGTGCTGATCAGTATTGGGATCGCGCCTGTAAATAGCCACTGCACTCCAGCCTGGGCAACACAGCGAGACCCCGTCTCTTATATAAAAAAAAGAAAAAAAAAAAAAATGAGGTCACTAGGTTGGGCCCCAATCCATAATGACTGGTATCTTTATAAAAAGGGGAAATTTGGACACAGACACAGACATTCACAGAGGGAAGACCAGCTGAAGGCATACAGGGTGCTATAGTCTGAACGTGACCCCTCCCCCAAATTCATATATTGAAATTCTCTTGCCCAGTGTGATGGTATTAGAAGGTGGGGCCTTTGGGAGGTGTGTAGGTCATGAGGGTGGAGCCTTCATGAACAGGATTAGTGCCCATATAAAAGAGGCTTCAGAGAGTCCCTAATTCCTTCCACCACGTGAGGACACAGTGAGAAGGGACGAAGGGACTGGCTATGAACCAGGAAGGGGGGGCTCCTACCAGAATGTGACCATGCTGGTGCCTTGGTCTTGGAGTTCCCAGCCTCCAGAACTGTGAGAAATAAATTTCTATTGTTTACAAGCTACCCAGTTGGTGGAATATTTTTATAGCAGCTTGAATAGACTAAGACACAGGGAGATGATGGTCATGTGGCTAAGAGTGATACGTCTACAAGCCAAGCAACCCCAAGGATCGCTGGCAAACACCAGAAGCTAGAAGAGGCAAGGAACTGTTCTCCCCTAGAGCCTTCAGAGAGAGCACAGCCCTGCCGACACCTTAATTCCAGACTACTAGCCTCCGGGACTGTCAGACAATAAAGTTCTGATGTTTTAAGTCACCCAGTTTGTTGTACTATGTTATGGCAGCCCTAGGAAACGAACATCCACGCCAACGTGTCTAAGCCTTCAAAGGACTTCCTTTGACACAGATCACAGACGCCAGACTCATTATTTCCTTCACCACTTCCTCTTTATCTCTTCTTCTTATCTGCCCTTCTTGTGAACACAGTGACATAAAACATTTTGTGGGTGTAGGGGTAGGACGGTGTAGCAAAGCAGAAATCCAGGAGTTATTCTCTCTGCTGTGGGTAGGAGGGACCAGGGAAAGTAGAGAAGAGCTGCTGGAAGCCTGCTGCCACAATGGGGGCCAGGCACCAGGGGCCTCGGAGGGTGGGGGGCCGGGTGGGAGTGGCATGGAAAGAAGCCAAGAGTCTGCTCAGAGTAGAGTAGGATAAGGAAGGAGACTGAGGCCAAAATACAGAATAACTTCATGACTTTGAACTTCAAGCCTCTCTAGTTTTGAAAATTATTCCTTGCCCTGGAGAGTGAGTATGATGATGGTAATGAGAGAAGTGGGAAGGAATTTCCATTTTAGGAACAATTGTGGGTTCCATTGCCAACACTGTTAACTTCAGGAATTGGAAAAGGTGGAGTTTTCAAGTCTCTCGAAGTTCAGTAGTTATAGAGAGCTTGAAAGGTATATACAATTATTTGAAAAGATGATGGGATTTTGGCATTCATGGATTAGGGTTAAGAGTTTTTTACCTTCCTGTGAGTATTCCCCAAGGGCCATATCTATACTAAATGGTGACGGGTCTAAAAACACACCCTCATGGGCTTCCCTGGTGGCGCAGTGGTTGAGAGTCCGCCTGCCAATGTAGGAGACAGGGGTTCGTGTCCCGGTTCGGGAAGATCCCACATGCCGCGGAGACGCTGGGCCCATGAGCCATGGCCGCTGGGCCTGTGCGTCTGGAGCCTGTGCTCCGCAAAGGGAGAGGCCGCAGCAGTGAGGGGCCCGCGTACTGCAAAAAAAAAAAAAAAAAAAAAAAAAAAAAACACACCCTCATGTGTGGTGTGGTCAGAATTATGGGTGTCATTCATGATGTGAATCGCAAAAGGAAGGAGTCAGAGGATTAGATTCCAGTGGGCCTATGGTAGCCCTGAACCTCCATCACATTTACAGGATATTTTTTTTTTTAGGAGTTCTTGAATTTGGGGATTTGACCATTTGAGATTTGTGAAGATCTCATGATGTTACTGCCAGAAGGCATGAACCAAGGAGAAACAGTGTATGAGCCTACTGCTCATGAATTATCTGATCAGAGAGTTAGTGCCAGCTTTCAGCTTTCCCCGTCATTTCGGCAGATGACGAATCTGAATCTCGGTGACTTGTCACCAGTTATACTGATAATAGAACCAGAATCCAATTTTCATGCCTCTTTCTACCGTCTCAGTCAACAAACATTTTAAAGTAATTACCGTGTGGCCAGCACTGTGAGATATAACTTTCTTCTTTTCATAGCCTATAACCTCATCAAAGGGGCAAAGCCAATCTCCCAGAGTTTGTTTGATGAAGACAGTAGGGCAACAGAGGCAAGAGGGCCTTCTGTCGATCCCTTACACCAGAAGACTCAGAAAACTTGTCTTTTCCCCATCTATATCCTGGAATCATGGTATTTGTCTTGTCTCCTGCACTAGTGATATGAAAAAGCTTTGAAAGCTATAAAATGCACTATTACTGGAGAAATATTATTAGCAGTAAGGGATTCAGAGAAGTGAGGAACTGGTGTAGACTTGAAGAGGCAGACTGAATGCAGCCTTTGTAATGGGTATAATTTTGTTTGTTTGTTTTTGCGGTACGCGGGCCTCTCACTGCTGTGGCCTCTCCCATTGCGGAGTACAGGCTCCGGATGCGCAGGCTCAGCCGCTCCGCGGCATGTGGGATCTTCCCGGACCAGGGCACAAACCCGTGTCCCCTGCATCGGCAGGCGGACTCTCAACCACTGCGCCACCAGGGAAGCCCTGTAATGGGCTTCCATTACATAATTTTGACAGGAGACATTTGTGGCTGAGGAGGGTGTCCAGGACAAAAGACCATGAGCAGAGTTGGGAAAGTGTGAATTGGGAAGTGTTTTGATCAGTTGACAGTTTGACTGGGATGGGGCGTTACTGTGCTTCTTCCAGCCAATATTTGAGGTCAAGTCCAAGTCACAGTGACTCGAGGGACTTGGGGCAGAAAAGCACCATTGTAGATATCATCCTTGCACAGATGATTATTTTTTATTTATGAAAGGTCTTTAAGGCACATAATCTCTGGAATCTCTTGGCAAATGTCTGCCCCCCTGAGCAGTAAGAAAAAGCATTTTACTGTAACAGATGTTAGCACTTTATTCATCCTCCCTCTTGTCCTTATTTATTTCTTTTGCATGTATAAAACGTAAAAATAAAAAGTGGAAAATTCAAATAAAGGTGGTAGTATATGCAAAGAATAGTGCCCAAACGTCTGTTAATTTAAACTTGGGACTTTATTCATAGATTAAAGCTACCCATTGCTTTTATCTGAGTTTACTTTGCGTTGACTTCAGTGGCTGTTATACAGGGATAGCCAAGCAGATTTTGACCCCATTCAATGTTAATTCGATTCGCATGGGTTCTTAATAGCTTTTGGTAAAGTGGAACTGTGTTTGACACTGTTTTTGTTTGTGGTTAGATGATGTATTCAGTTCTGAAAACTTGAAAAAAAAAAAAACCAAAATGCTGACAACCTGCCCAGTTTTAATCCCATTCGCCTCCTGCAGCTCATAAAACTCTTGCAGTTAAACTTCCCCTGGGGATCAGAGAACACTTTTGGTGTATGGGCACTGCTGTGGGGTCCTTTGCCAAAGAGCAGCATTTGGTCTGACCCCATCAGTCCAGACTGAGCTCACCAGAGGCTTCAGTTACTGGCATTCCTTAAGGACGTCTTTACGGGAGGTTCATGGGATAAGAGTGGCATGAAGGCTGTGTGCCGTGTCGCATGATTGACTGGTTTTTGCTACATGGATCACCCTAAGCATACAAGTGGCCACCTGCTTACAATTATGGTATAATATAATATTTAAGAAGTAGAGATTTATTTGCATTTTGCAACTCTTAGGTCTGCAGCTTTTAGGAGACCAATAGATTCGTTCATTCATTCAACAAATATTTAGTGGACTGGACATTGTTCTAGGACCATGTGCTAGCAATGAAGGAGACAAAGTCTCCACTTTCAGTGGGCTTACGTTCTAATATGGGTAACAGCAAATCCACGAATAGATGTGTAATGTGATATCGCATGATAATGATGACTGTTAGTGGAAATTACGAAGGGTAAGAAAATAGACAATGACGTGGGGAGATTAGGCTGTTCCAGATGGAGTAGTTGGGGAAGGCATCTTTGAAGAGGTAACACTGAGCAGAAATATGAAAGAAGTGGGGATCCAGACTTTTGAATATGTTGGGGAAGGGCATTCTAGGGAGAGGGGGCAGCAAGTGCAAAGGCCCTGAGTGGGATGAAGTTGACCTGTTTGGGGAATGGTAAGAAGGTCATTGTGACTGGAGTGCATTGAATGAAGGAGAAAGTGATAAAGATGAGGCCAGAGCCACAGCCAGAGGCCAGTTCAGGGAGAGCCCTATAGACCGCGGTGAGGGTAATTCCGATTCTGTTCTAAGTATAATGGGAAGTCACTAAAAAAAAAAATCACTCTAGCAGCTGTATGGAGAGTGGAGTGTAGGGGAGCACGAGAGGAGACAGGGAAGTGCAGAAACTATTGCAAGATTCCAGAGGAGAGATGAGGGTGGACTTGACTGGGGCTGGTGATGGAGGACACAGGAGCAGTGGGAGTGAGGAGTACTTTGATGGTTGACGCGATTTGTTGGTGGGCAAATGTGGGATGCGGTTACCAGGGGAACAGTTTTACTCCTATTCTCCAGTTAGTGATGCCCACGGGCCACAGTCACTAACCCCTCCCCACCCCACCCCATTGCCCCAGAGTGAATGTGATCCATGGTAGCTGAGTCCATGGCCCCTTTATGAAGACGAAGAATGATCAAAGCCTTAAGTGGCTTTCGAATTTTTAAATAAAAGTTTAAATTTTAAATATGATAGGTTTTTGGTGAAGAATAGAATAAAGATTTTGCTTGCTTTGTATCGCCTTTTAAAAAACCTTTCCTTAGCAACCTTTCAAAACCACAACAGATGTTCCTGAGAAAAAGGAAGTACATTGCAATTTCCAGGAAGAATAGACCCATTATGGTGGGCTCATTAAGAAGTTCATTATTTAGTGTATTGGAAAGACTGAATTTAATTTACAGTTTCTTCTGCTGGATAAGAATCCTAGACAGAATCAGGACGGTTAATGGTGAAAAGAAAGCAAATAATGAAAATTCAGATTTTTCTTTCCTCAGTTCTGGCATGTGAAATTTTAAATCTCAGCTCAGTGTTGGGTGGACTCATTTTGGATTTCCTGTTTCCTTTCCTTTTGTTCTGTTATTATTCCTTCCTTCCTCCATGGCTGATTATCAGATTTTTCCCCTGCAAAAAATAATTCAATGTACATTATATGGTTTGTAAATTTTTCTAAGACAGCTATGTTATTGCTTTAGGATACTTCTGTAAAAAAAAAAAAATGTGCAAAATTAAAATAATGTGATTTGGGGGGTGTTAACCATTTCTTGATCTTTTTCTGAATAAATAATCATCCCAGGAATCTGTTCAACTCTAAATTAGCTGTATCACTGAATATTTTCTTGTTCTTTAAGATTCCATTTATAGCCTGCTATTAGATACATTTAATTGCACTGAATGAAATGCAATACTTAAATGTTGATATTAAAACTGTGTCAGCTCTTGTTTTGTATCCATGAACACATGAAGTTAGAAAGAGTGCGTTCATGCTCAGAGTGCTCCTGGGAGGCCAAAGCCAATGTTGTTTTACTTGGGGATGCACAGACAAGACCAGCCCCCTGTGACTGGTTTCCTCATGCACAGCTCATGGATTTAGCCATTTACTGGTTGGTGGCGTTGGTAGCTTTGCCCGCAACAGAGTATCAATGGTTGGTTTTACGATGAATCTGATTTGATAACAAGATCATCATTCTTCGGCTGACATATATGTTGCTCAGATTCTCCTTTATTGATCATTTAATAAGGTTTTACTTCTCCCAAAGAGGAAAAAATTTTCCAGACTCTTTAGGACACAGGACTCTGTTCTGGGCTGGAAGGGATTCTGAGGCTAAAACTCAGCTTTTGACCACACATGGCCACCATGAACATTGGGCACTTAACACAACATCAGTCATTAACAACAGTGGCTCCCATTTATTGACCACTTAGTATGTATTGTTGCAAATCCACCCAGCATTCTTGCAATGTTGTTCTGTGACAGAGAAAGAAAATGAAACTCAGAGAGAGTAAATGGCTCTCTTAGGGCCCAAGGGAGTTGCCAGCAGGACCAGTGTCCACGGTGGGTGGAAAGGAGGAAGCAGAGCAAAGTGGAAGACAGCATAATGCTTTCCTTTAGGATATATACACCCTAGAAGGGAAGACCCAGAGGGTAATTATATGAAACTTCTAGAAGACAAGTCTATATAAGCAAGAACACCATGACTGAGTATGAGCTGCCTGCTTCACATAAGTGCTGAGAGACAGTGGATAAGAGAGCAGTCAGACTTTGGTGGCATTAGTCAGCTCTTCGAGGAGCTACCTTGAGTGGAATTTACTTAGTAACAACTATCCTGAATGAGCATTTGCAGGAGGTTTCAAAGCCTGCCTTGGTAATAAAGCTTGTGCTCTGCAATCCCAGGTTTCTGAATAGCATCCCTGCACCAGATCCCCACCTCCCATCAGCCACCGGTCCACCAACATGGTGACAATAGTGGGGGATCAGTCCACCTTTTTATTGTCCAGTTCTCTACCAGTGTCAGAAATGCCATTCATGGCTCATAGTTTTTTGTTGGTTTTGTTTGTTTTTAAACCACATCACATGTTTCAAGATGCTTCTGGTGGAAGTAATAGAAAGCCAGTTTCAAATTAGCTTAAGCAGTAGGGAAACGTATTGGTTTGTATAAATTGGCACCCAGAGATAGAGGGGTTCTGTGTTGATTCATCTGGCAGTTCAGCAGTGGGATCAAGGACTCAGGTTGTTTGCATCTGTGTGCTCTGCTTCCATATCGACAACTTTATTCTATGATTGGTTAGCCTTCTGGGCACAGGGTGGCTGCTGCAAGCAGGTGGGTTCACATGCCTCCTCTTTCACATCTAGTGTCAGATAGATCCTGGCTTCCCATTGCTGCTTGCAAGCGTAAGGAAGTATTTTCCCAGAAGCCTCCAGTAGTCCTCTCTTTGTATCTCCTTAGACAGACTTATTTCATGTCTCCATTCCTGAACCAATTAATGGGTAGAAGGGTGGGATTCCCTTAGATCATGCATGGCTACCTTTTGAGCTGAGCTCAAATCCCCAAGCCACAGATAGCTGCTTACTAGGGGCGGAGCTGAATGATTGCAACATCAACAAGGTCCATTACACGAAGACTCAGAGCCACCAGTGTTTTCTGTATGTGTCTTATTATCCATCCTCCCAGGCAAGATTTTGGGCTAATGAATAGTTTGATATGCAGGGCTACAAAATGAATTGCCTAAAATTATTAGGAGCCAGGTGGTAGACAATCTAAAAACATCAAAACATGCTCAGCCTCATTAGCAATCAGGGAAATATAAATTAGGATCACAGTGACATACTATTATACTCCCACTAAACTGGCAAAAATTAAGAAGTCTGAGAATATGAAGTGTTGGCGATGATGCGTATGGGGAAACAGGACCTCTCATGTACTGCTGGTGGGAGTGTCGTCTGGTACCATCATCACTTTGGGAGAAAAGTTTGTGCTATCTTGTAAAGTGGAGCATGCATATACCCTTTGACTTAACAAAGGTAAATACACATTTATAGGTATACATACTAGGAAAAATTTTGCAATTTCTCCAAGAGACACGTTTGAGAATGTTCATTATAATACTGCTCATAATAGCAAAAAAATTGAAAACAATCTAAAAGTCACAGAACAGGAGAACAAATAAATGCCCTGTGGCTTATTCTCATAAAGGACTATTATGCAGCAGTGGAAAATGAAGAAACTACAGCTGCATGCAGCAACATGGATGTATCTTAAAAACTTAGTATTTAATTTAAGAAAGCAGGTTGCCCAAGACTACCTACAGTGAAATACCATGTTTATAAAATTCAAAAGCAAGCAGATTTAAGCAATATATTGTTAGGATACATCCGTATGTGGTAAAACTATATTTAAAAGCAAGAGAAGGATAGTTGGGAAGGTGGGGTCCAGGAAGAGCATGAGGTTATCTCCAATGGCATTGATGATGAGATCTAATCTTTAGTCTGGTGGTAGAAACTGGGGTGTTTTATTTGGGGCTTCATAACTTTGTTTCTGTCCATCTATCTATATTTCTACATGTCAGATATTACATAATACTTCTCAAAGCATAGGCTCCTGAGCTCTTAAGCAAATGTGATTTGTTGCAGTAGAGTGACAAAGTAACATGATTCTTGTAAGAGGAAACCATGTCTGATGAATCATGTGGTTGGGGAGAAACAGTGGCTGTCATCTGTTTAGGCCTTGGAAAAAGCCTTTGATTAAAGACTAGCATAAGTTAAGATATACAAAGGCTATCTATCTTGAGTTATTAAACCCTGACATCATTGTGGGTTGGGGAAATGTTTCCTCACAGATAGGGAGGTAGGGATCAGAAGTAAAAAATAAGTAAATAAGTGCGTTTTTAAAAAAGAGGAGTAAACGAGCCTTCCTCTAGAAGTGTAAGCTTTTCGTTTCGGTGGCGGCCAGTCAATATTTGCTGTATAGGATATTTTTAGTGAATGATTTGGGAGAGCAATGCACAGGCAAGAGAATCCCATGGTTAGAGGGTGCGCTGGGTGCAGCCTGGTGAAACCCTGAGCAGGTGAGCTTTAAGCTCAAGAGCAGGGCCCGTTTGGCTCAGAAATAGGGCAGGTGAGCATTCGTGTAGCTGGCACACCTGGCTGTGTCAATGGAAACACAGACTCACGGCTCTTTTTGCCTTTTGCTGTTTATTATTTACACTGTACGGGGCACCTCACTAAATGTCATACATATTTACTTCATCCAATCTTCATTATTACTATTATAGCATTATAGTATTTGTATATTATATACTATGTTATCATTATATATGATTATTATTGCTTTTGTTTCACAAATTAAGAAACTGAGGTTCAGAGAATTTAGATAACTTGCCTGAGTCACACAGCTGGTGATGGAATCAGAGCTCAGAATCCAGGTCTTTTATAACTGGAAGATGAGGCTCCTTACCATCCATCATGCATCTGGAAGAGAACTTAGAGGCATGGATTTCCAGCCCCTCATTTTATGGACGAGCAGTTGTGGCTCAGAGAAGAGTGGCATGGCCAAGGTCTCACTCATGTCGGAGGTCTCAGACCCCCATGCTCTTCCCACTGTGACACTCGACGTCACAGCCCTCGCCCTTTCTCTGACAGTGGCTGATCACTCACATCAGTCTTCCTGAATGAATCTGCCTCGTCACCAGAATTGGCTCTTTCTATAGGAACAAAATGAGTTGAGTCTTCATTAGCAAGTGTGAGAAACGTAGATTCAGAGGTTAAAAGACAGCTGGGATGTGACATGTTGAAGGCAAGCGGGTATGAATGGATTCTGGGCTGTCCAGTTCCTTTGGAAATAAGCAAACAAGCAAGCTCATGGCTGTTAGGCCGGCACTGACTGCGGCTGCCCTGCCCTCTCGGGGTCCAGGATGGAGTCGCTGCCCCCGTACAGGAGGGTCCCTCCTGCTGTCTCCTCTGTGGGGATTTCCATCTCCGTGGTCAGAAGGCTGTCAGGGTGTAACTGTCCTCTTTCCACGTCCCTGGTCACTTTCACCTGTGCTCATGGTCAGCTGTGCAAAGAGCAGACCCTGGATGCCCCCCTGTGGCTGCCATGGCTTTGGGCTTCCTGTAGAGGGGCAGGGATGGAGGGCTCTGCTTTGGGGGACAGTACAGCAAAAAATATCCTCAGATGAGATTGTTGTTGTTTAATATTCGGATCTCAGCGAGAAGTCGGACTGGAAAGGATGCCCGGGATTCCCAATGTAGGACTTAGTTTCTCCGTTTATTAGTGGGCATTGGGACAGAGAGGAGTGATTTATGACAAATGCCACACAACTTGAAGGAACCCCTGAGGCAAGGGACAGATCCCTGACTCTGGCTGTTTGAGCCCTGAAGCCTCTTAAGTCTCGCTGACCTTGACCTTGGGAAGGTTGACCTGCCTCTGTTCCTTCAGGGCAGTGGGGAGTGGCCACTTATGATACAAGCACAGAAAATACGCCTTGAGTAACCAGTTCCAAGTGGATGGGAGTGTCTGGGGCGGGGGCTCAGAGGAGCCACGCTTTGGTGGCATCTCCATCTCCAAGGTCTGGATCTTGACCCGGCAGGTCCGGGAGCTCCATTTTGTCATTGTTTTCAGAAGTGTTTGCATCAGGAGCCTCTCAGGTGTCTGTGGTATCAAAAGGATGCCAATCGATTTAGTGAGGCCATTTTATTTTATTTTATTTTATTATTATTTTGTTTTAGAAGATGTTGGGGGTAGGAGTTTATTAATTAATTAATTTATTTTTGCTGTGTTGGGTCTTCGTTTCTGTGCGAGGGCTTTCTCTAGTTGTGGCAAGCGGGGGCCGCTCTTCATCGCGGTGCGCGGGCCTCTCACTATCGTGGCCTGTCTTGTTGCGGAGCACAGGCTCCAGATGCGCAGGCTCAGTAGTTGTGGCTCACGGGCCCAGTTGCTCCACGGCATGTGGGATCTTCCCAGACCAGGGCTCGAACCCGTGTCCCCTGCATTGGCAGGCAGATTCTCAACCACTGCGCCACCAGGGAAGCCCAGTGTGGCCATTTTAGCGACAGAATATTCTCACCTCTCCAGTGTGTGCCAGGCTGGGGACATTGAATGTGTTGTTGGAAGGCGGTTGGCAAGTGGGCAATGAGAGCGAAGGGAGAGATGACCTTATATGACATGTCGTCCGAGAATGGCGAGACCTGATGACCCCCTCCATTGAGCATATCTTTACTGAACAGAATATTCCTGCCCTCCTCCAGTGAGGGACAGACACTGCAAACTTCGTCTCCAAATCTTTTTCACTGTTGTTTGAGCAGAGCCAGGGTAACTGATTGCACTCTCGCTGGCATGATTATAATCACAGTTAGGCCTTCTTTTCTGAGCTTGTGCCAAATCATGCACGATGAATGGGGAACAACCCAGGCTTCTGTAGCGGCACATTTTCAGTCTCTCGTGTTACTTCCAGAGCTGCCTACTATATGCACTGACTGCAAATACGAGTATATGTGTACATATATTAAGTAAACATTTTATTGATATATAATATACATATAGAAAAGTTAGGCCTTCTTTTCTGAGCTTGTGCCAAATCATGCACGATGAATGGGGAACAACCCAGGCTTCTGTAGCGGCACATTTTCAGTCTCTCGTGTTACTTCCAGAGCTGCCTACTATATGCACTGACTGCAAATACGAGTATATGTGTACATATATTAAGTAAACATTTTATTGATATATAATATACATATAGAAAAGTGTACAGATTATGAGTACAGCTCAGTAAAAGTTATTGGCATCATAGAACCAGCAGTCAGAGGAAGAAAGAGAACACGTCAGCACCCCACGAGTCCCCTTCATGTCCCCCTAAGCCACTGCCTTCTCAAGAGGAACTGCTATCCTCCCCTCTAATAAATCATAGGTTTAATTTTGATTGTTTTTGAGCTTTATATAAATGAAACTCACAGTGTACTCTTTTTGCTCAACATTATATTTGTAAGATATGTGTGCGTTGTTGGAATTAGTACATTGATATCATTGCTGTATAATATTCATTATAGTAATAATTTATGAATACATCCTACTATTGATGTGCTTATAGTGTTGCTATGAACATCTTGTATATGTCGTTGGGGAAAAGCAACTATATTTTGAATCTGTCTAAGTTTGCTCTTACAGTAATTTTGTCTCAGAGTTCTGGGAGTATGTTCCTGTCACCCCCAGGGATAGGCTACAAGACCTCAAGTGCCCTTTCTCAGTGCTCTTACTGCCACACGAAGCTGCCATTTGTGGACTTGGCCGATCTCCTGCCAGACGGTCCCCAACCTGTTTGGCACCAGGGACCGGTTTCATGGAAGACAGTTTTTCTGGGGGGCGGGTGGTTTGGTTCAGGTGGTAATACGAGTAATGGGGAGAGGCAGACGAAGCTTCGCTCGCTTGTCTACTCGCTGCTCCCCTCCTGCTGTGTGGCCCGGTTCCTAACAGGCTGTGGACCAGTAGCGGTCCACGGCCCGGGGGTTGGGGACCCCTGTACTAAGTAATCTATAATTATTAGTTGAATGAATGTTTCGATGAGGGAATGGAACCTAAAATATCGGGCTGCAATGAAAAATGAAAATTAAGGCTGCTAATTTCTGTTTTACTATTGCCACATCCCACCACGCTAGAGGAATTGTGCAAGGAAGGCTGAATCAAGGAGAAAGAAGATCAGGTTTGAGGTGCAACAAAGCAAGAGAATTGAAAGGCTAGCAGATGAGGAGGCTCTATGCGCCTTTCTGGGAGTGTGTGAGTCACCAGACAGTGAGATGCATCGAGTTAACGAGTTAATAAATATCCAAACCACTGCAGGTGCAACTGTTGTCTTCCAGAAGAAACCTGTCCCCACGCACCCATCCCATCTGCCATACACGGACACTACAACACGGTGGTGTCTGGGGAGGAAAGGAGACAGCAGGGTCTCTTTTATTTTTCCTTTCTGAAAGCTGCCGCAATGTCGTGAGGTGAGTACTGAGAGTCCCGAGTGGAGGGCAAAGGGGTTATTTGCACCCAGGAAGCAGGCATCCCTGGGCATCTGGCAGTGGCACTGAAGTGAACGTGGGGTGCAGGCCAGGGCTTCTTGTCACCTTTGTTGCCTCGATCACTATGTCACTGAGCCCTTCCTCAGGAAATCATGAGCTGAGAACAGTTCCCCAAAAGCGGGGAACTGTCTTTCCTAGTGGGACTGGCTGCTTTCTAGGCAGTGTGATGGGGGAGGGTTGTACCCCAAAGAGCCATCTCCCCTAAAGTACCCCCCAAGCAGTCACCCACACAGTGCCTCTTTGAAACTCTGTCACCTACACCCAAAGCAGTGACCTCTGAGCCTGAGGAAATCAGCCAGGCTCAGCCCTGATCGAAGGGTCCATTGGGAGGTACATGCCCTACCTCACACTGCATCCTTCATCCACAGAGCCGCTTACCGTCTCAGCACTTATTGCATTTCAGAAACAGTGCTGGCATTTGCTTTTCCTTTTTTATTTTTCAAGAAGATAATGTCATCACCTAGAGAGGATAGATTTTTTTTTAAAGTGCTGCTGTAGGCAACGCCTGTGTTCGTCATCAAAGCCCCCATACTGGCCACAGCTTGAGCTGGCAACTGACAACAAACCGATCAGTAGGAAAAGTCATCACCTGTGGATACCTTGAAAAGGTGTCTGTGCATGTGCACGTGTGTGTGTCCACGTGTGTGTGCACGCGCACACACCCTAGCACTCATGGATGCGGACCCACCCTCTGCAGGAGGCTGGGGGGAGGCAGGGGTCAGTGACCTTGTTGGCTTCTGTACACACAGCAGGCCACATGCAGCTTTGTTTATTTTCCTGGAGTCTGAGGTTCCCTTGCCTTCGTGGGAGGCCTGCTAGAACAAAGACCACCCACCTGCCATTGCTTTCCTTTCCCTTTTTATCTCACTGCAGCCCAGAGTCTTGTCCTGCTTCAGTGTGAAGAACTGGCTCCTTCTGGATCTTCCCTGAGCCAAGTTGATGGGTTTGCCACTAGTAGTTACATTTGGGATTCAAGCAAGTGGTACCTAACGGTGGTCACTTATGGGCCCTGTGTGTGGCCGTCCAGCTCCTCCAGGCAGCTGGGGGTGGTGGGGGGCATGTCACAACCAACCTAAACCAAGGTGGTGCCGGGCTCCGTGCTTGTAGGGTAGAGGCCTGGAAAGCTGCGATGAGGAATGAGTTACAATTCACAGAAGACATAAAGGGGATGAAATACCTCCCAGTTGCTTCTGTGTGTAAGTCACATCAGAGCCCCTGGCCCACAGCTGACACAGCCCTGTTCCCAGACCATTCCCAGTCCCGAAACCTTTGCCCATTCTCAGTCTTTTCCAACATGGCTGCTTTGGTTTTTAGACTCCATCTCAAAATGCATCTCCTGGAACCTGGATTTAAGCAGAGAGCCCTTGCGTTTGTGGATCCCCCTCCTGCCCCCCACCTCCTGGTCTCAGTGATGACTTCCACTGTGAATTCATCACAGTGCTCTGAGATCAACACAGTGTTTACACTGTGGTTTGGGGGGGGGGGACACAGAGCAAGAGGAGAGCTGCAAGCCGCACAGCAGCCGGTGTGAGCAGGCCTGTTCAGGTGATGGGGACCTACCTGAGCATCACTCCTGTTGTTCCCTGTTGAGGCCTCCAGCACCCACATCTCCCCTGTGTTAACTAGGGTTCTGTTGGCTGACTCACCACGAAGCTGTTCCGCTAGGCAACAGGAGCATCTCAGACACGTGGGTGGAGGCAGAGTTGTTCTTGTTTTCCCTGCAGTGTGGGAAAGTAGCAACTTAGTTTCAGTCCTATTTTCTACATCGTATTTTTCCATTCCTGATATTAAAACTTTGATAATGTCTTTACTTCAAGCTAGAAGCAAAGAGACAAATTTTGCTTTGAAACAATCGTAGGAAACAATATCTGATTTTAATAAACACCAAGGCAAGTAGGACATTGCAAGGAAAAA